GTTGGGGGCTGGGGATTTAGCTCAGCGGCAAAAGCGCCTGCCTGGCAAGCGCAAGGTCGTGAGTTCAGTTCCCGGTACCGGAGAAAAACCAAAAAAAATAAATAAATAAAGGTTGGTTGGTTTTCTGGAGATTACTGTCTCTGGCTTTCTCTAGGCAGTGGCTAGAAAGGAGATGCACCCTGAAGGAACACGTTTGTCTCATCTCAGAACACAGGCTCTGCAGTGACTTTAGGAGCAGACAAGAGACTGGAGAAGGGAAAGGAAAATTAGCCCCAGGCACTATCCCACAGAATGCCCAAGTGGACTGGGAAGAGTGGGGTGGGTGTCCTTAGAGCTAGAGGAGGGGTCCCAACAGCATGACCCATGGGATAGAGAAGTGTATCCTCTGCAGGGGGCCAGGAAAGTGTGGAGGAGCAACATTTCATTTATGCCAGACTCTGGAGGCCTCTGGACAGCACAGAGATGGAGCAAGAGGCTTCGAGGCAAGTGAGAGATAGCAAGATGTTCTGAGGGTGGGTGGTCCTGACCCTCCAGCCCCAGTCCTGAGATCACCATCAATCTGCCACTGAGCTGTGAGACCCTGGACAGGTGCATCCTTCCCACCTTCCTGCAGGCCCTCACCTGATGCCAGAGTTATTAGGAGAGTTGGTCCTAATAAAGGTGCTCAGTCTTCTGTCATCAGCAGTGGCCAGACTTCAGGATTGATTGATGTAAAGTCTGTAACACAAGTAGAAAGGGGGCTGTTGGCTTCCAGATAATCCAGAGGAAGGATGAGGAAAGCCTCTCAAAAACTGGGGGCCTTTAAGCTGATTTTGCAAGGATGAGCCGTTCACCCACTTCTTAGGAAGACATTTGGGGTAAGACAAGAGTTGGCTTGCTGGCTGGCTGAACCCAAGAGAACACTGAGCAGGCCTCCTCTCCACCACCAGCTCCCGTCATTGGAGCCAAAGTCAGAGGGGCTCCCCACCCGCCCCATTCTGCCCAGCTTGGAGTCTGCCTTCCCCTGCAGGAATCTCAGTTCTCTTTTTAATTGCCTATAGGTAAAATTCATTACACTGTCATTCTAACAACTCACGGGGGGAGCATATCTTTTCTCTAAATGCAGATATTCTTTTGAGGGATTGTGTCTTTATCTTTTACAGAAAAATCACTAAATTTAAAGAATTGCCATTTAAAATTGCAGATTAAAGAGAAACTTAATTAGAAGGGATGAAAGCAGTTGTGTTTGCAGCTTTTGTTCTTAAAAATGTTTTTTTCTTTGCCTGCCGAATCACTGCCCTTGGAGTTTGTATATTTGTATTTTAGGTGAAATGATTTGCCTAATTAAGCCTGTCATTCATCACCACCTGTTCTTTCTAAAATATATGGCTGCTTTATTAAGCTTGCCAGTGAATGCATAAATTAATTCAGTGGAGAATTAGTGTTGACTAGGATGTTCTGAGGTTTTATCCAATTTATCTGGTAGCAAAACTGATACTTTTTTTTTCCCAGTAAAGCAAAACAGCGCAGCTCATTAAGCTTCCTCATTTAGCATTCACTGAGCACCTGTTACCTTGCAGGTACTATGGTAGGCTTAGGTTCAGGGGCACATGGTACAGGATCAGCCCTCAGGGACTCACAAGGAGCCAAATAAGGAAATTGGTGAGCAGGGCTCCATGGGCTGGGATCACAGTGAATCTGGGAGACGGTAAGGTCAGGGAAGGCTTCCTGGAAGAGGTAGCCCCTGAAGGCTAAGTGGAGCCAGTCAGGTATCCTGAGTCTAGACGGACACACAGGCGCCAAGAGTCTGATAGGTTGTGCTGCAGAGCTGGTTCCTGCCCAAGTGTCTGGTCCATGCTTCCTCTCCCCTCCCTCTGTGGCAGGAGGTCTGTTGCGGGCTTCTATATTAGCTGAAATCCCCAGTCCTGATTTTAGCCATTGGGGCCCCAGGATGCCAGAGCTGAAAGTGACTCACAATTCATCTGCTCCCTCTCTCTCTCTCCAGCTGATGGCAAAATTAAGCCTTGACCCCCACTCCAGCCTCCTGCCCTCCCCATGCCCATCCTACTGAGCTGCTTCCTGCTGCTCCTGAGTTAGCAGAAGGAGCCATTATGGAAAAATGCACACCAATCCTGTCTTGGTGGATGCCATACTGTACCTTAAGCCAGAAATTTGTGCCCCACACAGTGGTCCTCCCTGATTTGCCCATGGGTAATCATGTGCTGTTGGAGTCACCTACATCCACCCACCTAAACTGGTGCCCTATTTCTGCTTTCCTCTTCTCCCTCTCCATCAGCAGGCAGATGTCTCCTCTCAAAGCCAGCCTGAAAACGTCATTCTCTGGTTATCCCCACCCATAGTACCAAGCTCTTTCGAAAGGGGCTCCGTGACCTGGCCCTGACCTGACCCTAGTGCTTACCCCCACCCAGGGTCACCTGCCAAAGGCTCTGTAAGGTGGGTACTCAGCTCAGGACCTCCATCCCTTGCTCCCCACCCAGGAATGTGCGCCCAGTCTGATCAGTGCTGTGAGGGCTGGTGCGTTCAGCAGGAGTCTGGGAGAGAACCAGGCTGCCCGGGAAGAGGCGGAGGCCCGTGATGATGTGAGTGCCACCACTGCTGGACGGGGACGGGCTTAGGATTCTCCGGCAAGCCCCCTCACCGCCGTAGGCAGAGCCAGCCGTCCTCCTAGTGCTCAGGCCTAAGCCTGCATCACCCTGACCTTCTTAATCCAGTGCTTTATTTTGAGTCACTAGTGAGCCTGTCCTCTTTCCCTGTATAATCTCTCTACCCATCTTTTGCTTCAAATTAGTAAACTTTATATTTCAGAGCAGTTTTAGGTTCACAGCGATCAAGTAGAAAGTACAGAGAGGCCCACGTACCCACTCCCCTCCATCTCTTTTCTGTGCAGCAATCTTGTTTTATAAGAGCTAGGTTAAACCCTTCCTCGTCAAAATGCTGAACTCTCTTTGTATCTTTTACAACAAAACCAAGTCCCTCCCCAGACCAATAAAGCCCCAGCTATCTGCCCCATGTGCCTATGGCCCGGACTGTTTTGCTTCTTATGCACTCTAGGTTTAGGCCACCTCCATTTTCCCTCTGCCAAGAATGGCCTTCCCATGTGTGTCCTTCCTTCTTTTCCAGTATTTACACAGACATCACCTACCCTTCCCTGCTGTGTCCGTGACACTTGTCACCAGCCATTGGTGGTATGACTTATTGCCTGCCCCTCCTCCCCCAGGACTCCAGGCCATCAGGCAGGCATTCTTGTCCATTTTGCCCACAGCTGTCTTCCCAGGCTGGCATCTGTGAATGAAAGTTTCCCTAATGTTGTTGGTGAGGGGAAAGCCTGCCAGGTCCTACTAATGCATTCTGTTTTCTCACAAGAGTGGGTGGTCCCTGGGTGTCTGGGATATTTCCATGGCAGGAGCCTCCCTGCCCAGTTTTCTGTAGTGATTAACGGAAAAAGAGTATCTTGGAAGAACAGAAATGCCTCGCCAGATCTACTGGGGGAGATTGCCCAGTAGCTGAGACATAGAGCAAGTTTATTTGCATTTCTCAGTCCCAGCACACAGCACAGTTGTCATATCCCAGGCTGGAATCTCCCCACCACCTTCCATGAGCGTGAGGGTTGATTGCCCTGTATCTGAGGTCCGAGGGTGGCCAGCCACCCCCACGCATGCTGGCTAGAGGGAGCTTCCTGCCACTGGGAGGCTCAGCTGAGGACAGTTGACTTGGCACCCTCTGTGTACCAACTATAGTCTCTCTCATCTCTTCACTACAGCAAGTGAGATAAGAAATGGAGACTCGGAGAGGGTGAGTACCTTAGCTGAGGCACACACTGGGCATTGGCTGAGTCAGGAGAGCTTAGTTTGGTAGCTCATATGAAGCCCTTTGTATCAGGTGTGCATTGAGCAGGCATGATGATAATAAAAGTATATATTTATATGTAGCATTGACCACAGGTCTCTGTCAGGCACTCTGCTGAGATCTCTTTGTGCCTTGCTTGATTTAATCCTCAGGGAATGGGTTCGATCATTATCCCTGTTTTTCAGAAATGGAAACTGAGGCCCAGGGAGATACTTGCAAAATGAATTACCTGGTCCCCAGGAACCCTTCTGACAGTTTTAGTTCCCCTCATCATCTTCGGTTGTTTTTGGAGTGTCTACAAGGACTGTCCCACAGTGCAGTGCACTGCCCCACCCTTACCTGGGCCTGGACCATGAAGAGGGTTCTGAATGAGGAGGACCAGTCTCAGGGAATGTGACATGAATCCTGAATGAAGCTCTGTAGAGCTGTTCCAGGAGAAAGGGAGTGACCACGGTGACTCTAGGTGTGATAGGTGGATGAGAGGGGAGAAGCCCAGTGGGAGTGCCACATCCCCCTTTAGAGGCTGCAGAGAGATCCCTGAAGGGATAGGGCTAGCTCAATGACACACTTGCATGTGCTGTTTTAAGAGGCTCCTTACCCTGTTTTCTGTTGTAATAACAAAATGCGTGAGATTAAGTAATTCATACAGAAAAGAGGGTTAGTTTGGTTCATGATCCTAGAGGCTAGAAAGTCTAAGGCATAGTACTGCAGAGGTTCTTGTGCCATTTTCACTGATAGCAAAGAGCAGAAGGGCAAGGGAACACCTGCAAGAGAGAGAAAGCATGGGGGGCTGCTTGCTTTATGGCCACCTGCTCATGGCAGCTACCCAGTACCAAAAAGATCCACTTGTTCCTGGGGGCAGGGTGCATATTCCATTCGTGAGGGTGCTCCCTCCAGGACCCGAACACCTCCCGCTAAGCCCCACCTTGTAACACTGCTGTATTAAAGAACCGAGACCCAGTGTGTGAGCTTTGACAGGACATACTCAAACCATGTCAGAAAACAAAATTTCTGGAGCTGTGCTTTTTCGTTACCTGAAACTCTGCCTTCTGCAGATTATGTGCTGAACGGTTGAATGTTGCCCCAAGCATGCCCCCCATGACCCACTGGACCGAGTCCTGAGTAACCATGTGCTGTTTCTCTGTGTGTCACAGCCCAGTTCAATGGCAGTGAGAAACGGCAGTCATCCCCCTCGCCCTCGCGGGACCGGCGGCGCCAGCTTCGTGCTCCTGGAGGGGGCTTCAAGCCTATCAAGCATGGGAGCCCCGAGTTCTGTGGGATCCTGGGAGAAAGAGTGGATCCTGCGGTCCCATTGGAGAAGCAAATGTAAGTTCTGCAGGGGTACAGCCCAGCCTCACCCCAGTTCCTATAGTTACTGAGAGCACCTTAGTCTTTCACCTGACCCTGCTCCCCCTCTGGTACAGGGGAACAGGTTGCAGCTCATGGAGTTGAGGCTGCAGGCAGTTGGTGGCAGCTCTGTCTCTCCACCCAGCTTCACCCTCAGTCATTTGACTGGTTTGCCCCACTTTCCTATCCTAGTTTCTTATTTCATCATGCAGCAAGTCAGCTGTTGAAAAATAAGTAGAAACTAAGCTTGTCTCCTCAGTGTAAATTAGGGATTTTTTTCTAGCCACAGATATTTTGTCTCTACATTAGCTTGATGTAAGTTGAGCAACTCTTGTACATTCTTGATTTAGGTTTGCTCACCCCTTCTCAAAGACTTACCACCTCCACTCAGTAGCAAGTCCCACCCATAGAGCCCCTGAATTCTGAAACCCTTTTTCCTCTTCACCACTCCCAGCAGTGTGCTTGGCCAGGCCTTTTACTGCCCATCCTCCTTGGCCATGGTCATCTCCCTGCTCTGCCAGACCTCACAGTGTGCGGATAGATCCCTGCCTACTCCAAAACCTTCAGCAGCTCCCCAGTACCTCCATGACAAAGTTCCATCTCTCTGGCCTGCCATTCCCTCTGTTTTGCCCCAGACTGCCTTTTCCATTTCTCACCTATCCACATACCCAAACCAAGATGAATTTTTTGGGAACTTGATAAAGCAGGGATGGAATCTTGTGCTGGTACCTTTAGGTGTATCATCTGCTTAGCCAGCAAATATGCTATGAAAAGGTTTCCCCACTGCACACATGGGAACATCAGGGCCCAGAGTGATGCAGAAGTTGGCTGGGACTCGTGCACCCAGCCTCCTGATCTGGGCCACAACTTTCCCTTACTGCCCCACCCCTTGCATGTCACTCATCACCTGGAACACACCTGGACCAAAGTAGGCCCTTCTTAAGGCCAGGATACCAGTGTGCATCATCTACTGTGTTAGTCCCGGTCCTGGGGGATTCTGGTACTGCGCAACTAAATATGTCACCTCACAAGAAAGGCTCGCTTGTGGAGCAGTATGCAGGGTTTTCTGAAAGATGTCATGTGCTATAACCACATATTATCCCAGGAGGCTGCAACCTCCCTCATGGCCACCACTCCTGCCCTGCAGAGCTCACTGGGGTCACTTCCTGCCGGGGATGTTTGCCTCACAGCCACACAGATTGCAAGGCAGGTTTTGCTATTTCTGACTGAACTGTGTACTTTTAAATCAACAGAATATGATCCAGGGATGCATAGAAGCTATGACAGCAGTGGCTGGGTCTGCCCAGGGCCAGCCTGGGACTGGCTTTCCCTCACACAACTGCTGGACCAACCCGTAGTCCCAGGCAGCTATGCTCCTCCCTTCCTTTCCCATTCCTAACGGACAAGGCCCTTTGCCAAGTCCAGTCATGACTGGCTTTTTTTCCTCCATTGTCTCAACTCGCAGGATTATCGTGGCCTTTCAGAAGCCCTGAGTCATCACCAAGAAGTGTGCATAAGTAAACGTACTTCTAGTAGAGCATTAGGCAGATGGAAAGAATCACTCATCCTCCCCAACACCCCACCACCACCCCCACCCCACCACCCCAGTGCCCTGGGTGATGAGGCTGCAGAGTTAAAGTAGCACCTTCAGGCCCAGACCTCTTCTCCCCTCTCCCACCACACCTCTGTCCTGCATCATCACTACCACCACCATGCAAATACTTTCTGACCCTGTACTTCGTCTAAATGAGTAAATAAAATAACCTTGACCCCTATACTTCCTACCTATTGTACCTGTCTGGGCTGCCATTGCATCCTCATTGCTTGGCACACTTATAGGTGTTTGAAAAATGGCTGTCAGTTGAATGAAGGAAGTCCCCAAAGAGTTGTCAGTACTTCCTCTTCTCTGTCACCTTCCCTTCTCTCACCAACCATAGCCAGCTCCCCTTTTTTGTCTGAGTCCCCAGTCTCCCTGCCCTCCGTGGCAGCCAGCTCAGCTGCAGCTCCCTCCTACAACTCTACTCCTGGTTTCTCTTGCCCCACTGGCCGTTCCTTCTGCCTACTCAGTGGCTCCTGGCCTGTGCTTGACCTGAGGGTTACCTTTGCTGTGCTCGGTTTCCAGCTGCAGGCTCTCCCTGGGGAGTCACTTTGAGGATCCTAGTGATGATTCACAGGTGGGTGGACCCAACCCACACCTCTCCCAGACCTCTTCATGCCCACCTCCAGCTGCCTTCCTAGCATTTCACACCTGACATGTTTAGGACTGGGCTCCTGATCACCTGGAAACTTGCTCCGCCGCCAGCTTCCACCTCACTATCAACAGCATCACATCTGTGTAGTTATAGCTCAAGCCATACACCTGGATTCATCTTGATTCCTCTTTTTGCCTTATGTCAGCAGCTGCTGCATTACCGAGATCTGCTAGTCCTTCCTACAAAACACCACGAGAGCCAGGCATGGTGGCACATTCCTATAACCCAGTACTCTGGGAGACTGAGCCAGGAGGATCACAAATTAGAACCCAGTCTGGACAACTTAGTGACTTAGCAAGACTGTCTCAAAATAGAAAAATAAAAAATGGCTGGGGCTATAGCTCACCATGAAGTCCCTGGGTTCAATCTCCATTTTTAAAAAAAAACAAAAATAATAAAACCCAAAAAACACCAGAATTTGCCTATTCCTCTCTTCTGCAACTATCTCCCACTTGCTGGCTTGTCTCCTGCTTCCCTTCTCCTCAGGGGAGCCTGGCTAGTTCACCCCAATATCACCCAGAACAAGTGACATTACTTTACAATACTCTTCCTCTCTCGTGTGTTTAAAATGAAATCAGAGTGCTTCGCCCAGCCCACAAGGCCTCATTGGCCCTGCCCCCCACTCCCTTCACTTCCTATACCACTCTCTGTGTTCACAGTGCGAGGCGATTTTTGTCACCTTTCTGCTATGTGGGCACCCCAAGCACCTTCCTTCCTCAGGACCTTTGCACTTGCAGTTTACTCTGCAGAGATGTTTTCTTTGGCCATTTACCAAGGGTCTCAGGTCAAATGCCATACCCTCAAGGGCCTCTCCTGACCATTTGTTCAAAGCAGCCAGCTCCCTCCCAGACCAGTCACTCTGCCTCATCACAACCCTAGTATTCCTGCGTAGCACTTGTCACTGTCTGGAATGGTTTCCTCTATCTCTCTGTTTGCTCCTCCTCACTACGTCAGCCCTGAGATCAAAAGTATAGTGAGCAGTAAGTAAATATTGAATGAAGTAGTGGATACTGCTGGGATGAATGTCCCGGCTGAATTTCCCTAATCCCCCGATTCTTGACTGGCCCCTCCATGGGGTCCCCAAAATGGCCTGACTGAACTCTCTTCAGCCCAGGCAGGTCCTCCTGAAGACCACCCAAGCCCAGTCTGTCTCTGGTATATAGCCGCCCACTGGCAGGCTACCCAGTGACTGGTGGCTCTTGACCCAATGCCCTTTGCTCCTTCTCTCCTTTGATCCTCGACCCTGAGTCCCCTGCCTTTCTCTCCCTTTGGAAAGGAACCGGCAGCTTATCCTGTTTACCACCAGAGATTACCTTAATGAGGACTGAGCCCCCCACCCCCACCCCCAGGGCCTTCTGCAGCCAAGCAGGGCCTGCTTCTGTGCCTGGGAGGGGCAGGCAGCGGGCAGCACTTCCCTGGAGACCTCTTCCAGGTCTTTCCCTGAGGACAACTCAGCTTCAAATGGCTGGAAGTTGTTTTCCTAATAAAGTGTTTTTGTGAGTACACTGGGGGTGTGTCACACAGGCGAAGTCTCTGGAGGACAGTCTCACTAGGTCTGTTGACTCTGTTTCTGAAGCCAGCTCTTTCTCACTGATCCTCCCTGTACAGCCCTGTGTCCTCTCTAAAGTTTGCTTGGGCCTTGTTGGCTTTGGAAACACTTCCATCATGGCAGTAACTGGAGAAGGGAAAGTGGGTCTGCAGCCTGATCACCCCCCTAACCCCTGACCTAGGCAGGTCTCCCTGCCAGGTGCCCAATTCCCCGGCCGCCCCCTTTATGGCCACAGATGTTCTCCAGTGCTCATTTCTCTAAAGCTGCTTTTTAGGTTGTAACTGTCGTGGCCACTGCCACTCATTGGGGAGCACTGTCTTGTCAGTGGCAGGAAGTGTGCAGTGGCCGCCAGTGGGGAGTGGGCAGAACGTCTGTGTCAAAACCCTCAGAGGTACCGTGTCCAAGGCATGCATCAGGAGGCAGAGTCAACACATAAGCTGGAAATGTAGTGCACAGCCTATGGGCTGCAGGAGCTCAGAGTCCTCAAAGATGGAGATGCCATCCGTACAGGCCGCTGGCCCAAGCTCTGCAGATGCTCCCTCTGCCGTTCATTGAAACTCACCCACCCTAGGCTTTGCACAAACCTTCCTGTAGGTCATTCGTGTCATCCCACAGCCCCTGGAGAGGGCTGCCATGCCCCTAACATGGTAGGGAGCAGAGGCTCTGCCAGCTTCCAGCATCTCTGCTTCTCTTGTGGCTTCATGTCGCACCACCACTTGATAGCAGGTAGAGCTTTACTCTTTCACTGGGGTGTGACCTCTGGCAGTTGCAGCCATGAAAAGTTGTGTTCCCATTTCACCCTGTGGTTGGGGGCCTTAGGCCCTCTGTACTGTGTCCCTTGCTCCACTCTGGCGTGTGTGGTATCTGGAAGCAGTGCAGCTTGATTCCCATGTGTCCAACCAGTGGCCAGGACATTAAGTGGGAGCATGGTATGGCCACTGTACGCCAACTTCCCTGTCCTGAGTGATGAGCACTGTCCCCTTGCCTCACACATGTCTCAGAGCCAGAGCATGCCTTCCCTGTCAGCACCCTCTGATGGACTGATTCCATGTGTCAGACAGAGAGAAAGCTGTGGACCCTTTCCAGCCATACTGCCACCCCCAACCCAGTGGTACTGGCCCTACGCTGCTTCTAGAACACACTGTGCAGACTCCCTCCTCAGCCTCTTCCTTGCCTGCTGTCTGTTTCCCCAAAATGCTTCTCCTTCCTGGTCTTGTCTCACCTCCTGCAGGTCTGCACTGAAATGGCACTCCCTCCACACGGCTTTCCTGGCCACCTACCTGTCCCCAGCCATGTGATCTAGCCTTACTTTGTCTCCTTTCACCACAGTGCACTGTGTGACCATCTAGCATCTACTGCCTAACCCCCTGTGCCAGAGTGTGAGCCTGGGTTTGTTCAGTACCCCAGCCAGGAACTGGCATGCAGCAGACACCTGGTAAACAGCCATTGAATGAAGGAATCAGTGGATACCTGCCTTGTCCCTTGGTGGCCAGGCAGCTGGCAGCTGCCCCAAAGGTGCCGAGCTTCTCTAGGTGGTTAGGCTGTGGAAGCCCTGTCCCTACCAGGCTCTGACCATGCTCTGCCCTCTCCCCAGCTGGTATCATGGAGCCATCAGCAGAGGGGACGCCGAGAACCTGCTGCGCCTCTGCAAGGAGTGTAGCTACCTCGTGCGGAACAGCCAGACCAGCAAGCATGACTACTCCCTGTCACTGAAGTGAGTACAGCGCTCACAGGCACACACGCACACTCCACCCTGCAGCCCTGGCACAGCATGCAGAAACCCACAACAGCCCTCCTCCTGGCGAAGCTGCCAGCACAAGTTATTTTAAGACTTGGTTTAAATTTGATGCTGCTCTCCCGGGACCCAGAGGAGTTGTTATGCTTTCCCTTGCTGCCTTTCCAAAGACAAGGATTCTTGTCCTAGAGTTCAATAAGTAGCTGGGAATAGTCTCATGCATGCTGTGAGCTGGGTCCTGTGTAGGAAGCTCTCTGCCTGTCCCCTTCCTGTCTTAAACCTCATTCTGCAGATTGGGAAACTGAGACTCACAAGAGGGGATGGCTGGCCTGTGTGGCAGGGCCAGAACTCAAGAGCAGCCGTTTCACTCTCCACAGTGCCACGTGGCTGCTGTGGTGACCCTTTCCTTGGACTCTGGGTTGCCGTTTGGGCGGGTCTGGTTTCTGCGTGTTTCACCAAGATTCGGGAACATTGGGAAGAGTGGGGAAGAAGCCTGTTGGTAGTGTTGGCTGTGGTTGCTTTGTAACCCGCCAATGGAGGTTGGCCACTCCATTATTCAGTGCTACTGCTGAGTGGGACCACTTTAAAAATCATTCATTCATTCATTCATTCATTCATTCATTCGAGACAAGGTCTCTTGTAGTTCAGGCTGTCCTTGAACTCGCAGCAGTCTTCTTCCTTCAGCCTCCTGCGTGTTGGAATTACAGACATACACCACCCACCTGGCCTAAAAGATCTTCTAAAACACATTTTGCAGAGAAGAAAATTGAGGCCCAGAGTAAGGAAGGATTTGCCAAGGACACGGTGGCATAATTGGGTTGTAAACCTGAGCCCTTCCATCAGCAGAAACCCCACAGACACCATGGCACTCTCTGTGTGAGATCAGGTCTGCAGGACCCTGCTGGCGGGAGAGCTCACATGCTAGCAATGTAGACAGAGGTCTCAGTGTCGCCAGAAAACATGAGGCTGCCCAGCCCTGCCCAGTGTGCTGGGCTCTGCACAGAGAGGGTCTGTGACATACTGCAGTGCTTGGGGAAGGCAACAGGCGCAGGGAGAGGCTGGACAGCTGCAGAGGCTCTGGGAGAAGGAAGGATATGCAGAGACCTTCAGACACCACACTTGAGGGACTATCAAGGGAGGGGCAGATGTGGTCACATGTCCTTGGAAAGGGGAGTTACAGGCAGAGTCCAGCCCTGGGAGAGAAGTTTCATAAAAAAGCTAATAAAAAGTTAGGGCAACCCAAAGCTGCCTCAAGGTAGTGTCTTGTCATGGGGGGGAGGGGGAGGGGGATGGTTGTTTCAATAAGAAGCTGGACTACCGCCTGGCCAGGGAGCACTCTAACCAAGTGGAAGGACACTGAAACACACAAAAAGTAGGAGTGGTCCACTCTCTGAGCTGCTGGCCCCTGCATGCTTCATCATCTGACATTAGAACTGATAGCTTAGACTCTGGTCAGTTGTGGCAGTGGAGGGAAATTCAGTGTATAAGCTGCAGCTTGGCAGGCCAGGCAGTGGTGGCCAAAGCCAGGGAAGCCATAATTGGATTGAAACAAGAGCAGTGGCAAGGAGCTGCCCTCCATCAGGGCCCTCAGCTCCCGGTTGCTTTGGGCAGTGCTGCCACCCCCATCACTGCCCAGAGATAAGCCTGTGACCTGGTTGAATGGCCTCTTCTAGGCTGCAAGAGGCAAAGGAGGCAGGTGGCATCGGCTATGGGACTTAGCCTTCCCCACAGCCACTGGCAGCCTGAGAACTCCAGGGCGCTGGTCTTGCAGGGTCATTGCTCCTCCTGTCAGCCTGAGTTCTTCCATGAGTCTCAATCTGCCTAGAATTCCAGTTGTTTGAAAAAACAGCTGTGAAAGAACTAATTGGTATACAGAGGAGGACAGGATGGAGCACCCCATGCTGTACCGAGCCATTCCTTCCACAGGGCCAGAGCCTCGTCAGCTGCCTGGACTTGTTTATTCCATGGGGAGGTGCTGAGCCCTGAACCAGGGAGGGCTGCCTGGGCGTGGGGACACTGGGTACACCTGACAATCTGTTTCTCCAGAACAGCCCCTAGTTACACAAACAGGCCCAAATGTCACCTCACAGATGGATTTCAAGGGGGAAGAGTGCAGTCCTCTTTCATCCCTGGCCTGTACTGGTCCCTAGATAGTAGGGATGGACAGCACCTTGGATCTGTCCCCACAATGGTGTTGTAGTCCAGAGGGCCTGGTGCTGTGGTGAGGCAGTGGGGGACTAGCCTTCCCCGGCTTCCCCACTCCCTGACTTACGGCCGCCAGGCCACTTCTTTGAGCCTCAGTCCCACAACATTATTACCTTCTGTGTTCCTGCCTTCAGCCCTGTGGTTTAATTGAAGTCCATTTTTAGGAGAGCTGTTGCCAAATTCTGGACAGGCCTCCTGTCCTGCCACTTACTGCTCATTGTGTGCCCTTAACAAGTTCTCCCCATATCTGCCCAGAGAAGAGCTGGACTTTAACTCCCCACTTGTCTCTATCTGTGGGCTCAGCCCCCTTTGTCCTCCGCATGCTCTGGCTGAATGATCCGCACCTCTCAGGCCAGAGAGGAGACTGGGAGACGTGGCATGGTGTCTGCCAGGACCCTGGACAAGAACACTGCCTTAGGATCCTGGTCTTCCTTGCTGCCCCCATGCTGTCGGATCTGATTATCAGGACTGGAGTTTGGATGGCTGGTCTGCGCCCAGGGGTGTTGGAGATAGAAGATTTAGTTTTGCATGCTTGTCTAGAACCATTAGATCACCACCCACAAAGCCCAGAGGGGTGGGCTTACCTGGTCGGCCTTCCCTTGAAGAAGCCTAACCCAAAGTGGGGAGGTGGGTTAGACCATCCGGTGGCTGGGTTGGGCAGAGCATGCCCAGGAGGCAGATGTGCTTCCCAGAATGGCCACTGCATCACCTGGCCTGCCCAGCTGCCCACCAGGGAGCAACACCTAGGCATTAATCACCTCAAGTGCAAGTGGATCTGCCCAGGTACTGCATGTTGTAGCTAATCTGGGTGAGCACCAGTCTGCCAGCCACTGTGTGAGGTGTGTGCTTTCCCACTTAGTCCAGCCTGCCTGCCAGAGTGAGGTGGGGAATGGCATCCCTGTGCGCCATGCTATCAGGACTGGGTGCAAATTGACATCGGAATTCCAGCTATGCTGGTTCTCCATCTCTGGCATTTTCATGGGAGCATCCAGACCTTCTGTGAGGCTATTCCAGGGTGCAGAAAGTATTTGCGAGAGTCTGGCCTCAGAGGATAGGGCCCTCCACCCATTCTATCCTTCCTCACAAGATATTTATAAAAGCCTTCTGTACCAGGCACTGGGCTGACCATCAGAAAGAGACACAGTGAGGAGCGGAAGGCTCTGGGACTAGAGCCTGGGCAGATCAGCCTGTACCTCACTGCATGCAGGTCTGTCCACAGGGCCTTGGGAGCCCAGAGGTGGCAAACAAGAGAGTGGTCCCCGCTGCAGAGAGTCAGGAGCATCTGCAATGAGGAGGCTGCACTTGAAAAGAAACCAGACACAGTGGTACACACCTGTAATCCCAAGTGCCCAGGAGGCTGAGGCAGGAGGATCACAAGTTTGAGTTTAGCCTGGGCAACTTAGTGAAACCCTGTCTAAATAAAAAATAAAAAGCACTGGGAATTCCCAGCTCAAGGGCTGGGAATGTGTACCTGGGTACCACCCCAGTACCACAAATGAGAGAGACAGAGACAAAAGATAGGTGTTCCCTGTGCCCGGGCAGCCGGAAGGGCATCTTCAAAGACACAGCCTGGGCAAAGCCATAGAGGTACAGAAGAGCTTCAGCAGGACACCTGTGCCTCCCAGGGGAGTGTGTCACAATTCTCAGTGCTGCTGGGGCATTGACTGTCAGGCCCCAATGAGAACCTAACTCTCAGGCTCCTCCCTCACACTGATACCCCACTCCCGCAGCCCTCCCCTGCAAGTCAGCAGCCCTCAGACATCTTCCCACCTGTGCGCTCCACCCCTGCCCAGAGGTCCCTCCGTGTCAGGCACCTATACCTCAAAGCTGACTCCAGAGATCCTGCCAGTCACTGTCACCTGTCCCTGTTCCCTCCTGTCTGCAGAACCCTTCCTTGTCCCTGCCTGAGGAGTGGCAACAGGTTGACCTCATACCTACCACTGGCCCTTGGGTACGCTCAATCCATCCTCAGGGAGTAAAGGGTTGGGACTTTAGAAGTTGGCAAGAAAATAGAAAACTCTTAGCACAGTTTCCTGTCTCTGGAAAGGCAGGCAGTAAGGAAAGGGGTTTTAAAAAGAAGTTAAGAAAAAAATCTCATTAAAGGCTTGCTTCAGTCACTTTGGACACTTTGGAATGCCTTTGTGAATGCTCTTCACAAGTCTGGTGGCATATGTTTCTGCCAAAGAATCTGAGCAAGGTGAGGGGAAAGGGATTTCAAAGATTACAGGTTTTGCAGCTAGGGGAGAGCAACATCCTGCCATCCTTGGGATGGGGCATGCAGACTGGCACTCCTAAGGCCATGGCAAGCAGGAAGCCAGTGGCCAGGGAGGCCTTTGCTTTGCTTTGCTTTGCTTTGCTTTGCTTTGCTTTGCTTTGCTTTGCTTTGCTTTGCTTTGCTTTGCTTCTCTTCTGCCCTCACCTCTCCCCGTTCCCCTTTCTTTGCCTAACACTCTTCTTAACACATGGCACTTTACCATTGAGATGTATATCCCCAGCCCTTTTTATTTTTTGAGACAAGTATCACTGAGTTACCAGTACCAGCCTCCAACTTACAATCCTTCTGCCTCAGCCTCCCCAGTAGCAGTGATCACACGTGCACCATGATGCTCCTCACCACTGCCTCTTTGACAGGGACTCAGCCCTATCTCTGTTGAGGCAGAGATTTTATCCTCTATAGATTCCTCACAAAAGGAGCCACCGACCTTCAAATCCGCAGAGACTAACTGCTGGCATCCTTGTAAATGTGGCCTCAGACGCTTCTGGGGCCTGGCCTG